TTTTTTCTCATTTAGAGAATGAAATTTCTGAAGATGGATATTGGAAGTAATCTTGATATACCATCAGAGGCAGGTTTTACTGGGCATTTCCAAGAGTGTCATATCTGTAACTAAGCTGTAGAAATCCTTGCTGCAGAATTGTGGATGCTAAAATATTACAATGAATGGACTGGCTGATGGGTGAGAAATCACTTTAAAGTCTCATACAATCCATGTCTGAATCCAGAAGTCCCTGAACCAGGGGTTGCTGGAGATCCTTAACATGCAAAGCTGAAACTATTCCCCTGGTCCTGTCCTCCCCTCTTCCCCTCTTGACAAACACATTCATCTGCTGGCAATGACAAGCACCGGGGGCCAGTGGAACTCTGCTGAGGTGTAAGAGGTCACTTGGAGGCTCCTGCCATGCATGCCAACAGGAAAGCAGAAAATAAAATGAACCAAAGTGAGGTGCTGCCTTGAGACTGGGAGGAAACCCAAAGTGAGGCAGTGGCTGCTCTGGGAGGTTCAACTTCAGCTGATGGGAGGTGATGCCGTGTAGGTATATATCTGTGTGTCTGAATGTGTTGTGTGTACACATGGGATGAGCCTGTCATTCCAGGTAGTGTGCATATTTTTGCATGCATACGTATATAAATGCTGAACCATACATCTGGGCCATCTGTGTGGATGGGTGTTGTGGGAGGACTGCTGGCTAATAAGGTGCGTTTCAGGAGATCTGGAGACCAGTGTCTTACTTCAGTAGTGGGAATGCAGTGACTTTTGTGGTCAGTGTGGTAACATCTGTATTACTCTCTCTACTGAAGGAACATTGTACCACAAACTCTGTTCCAGAGGACAAGTGTTTGCTAGTGACAGTTGTTCTAGTAGTGATTCTGGTTTTAATCCCTTTCTTTTATCTTATCACCTGATGTTCACAATTGACTATTCAAAGCTGGAAATACTAGCATTGTTTTGAGAGGTAATGAAGCTTACTTGTTCATGTGATATCCACAGTATTCTTGCTGGCTCCAGAACCAATTACTATTTGCATAATCAAGTTCTTAATTGACATTTTTCCTTAAGGTGGAGTATAATCTATGCATTTTTACCCTCATGTAAATGAGGGGAAGAAATGCATTTTCAGCTGTATTTCTGGCTTCACATTAGGCAAGAGCAGGCATTGCAAGGCCTGCCTGTCATTAGCGTGGTGTGGCATTTGGATTTGCATTACAGTTAGCAGCAAGGACTGTGCTTCTGTAAATCCACAGACTGATCTTTAATCTGACTGTAGAGCAGATCTGCAATAATATTAGCAGGTTGTGTTCTTTCACATTTCTTTTCAGCATTTATTCCTTTCATGTGGTTTGCCCATTTGTACTTGTATACAGATGTATATGTGTATTTTATATTCTTATTATTCAAAAGCCTGAATTTCTGTAACTGATGTATGTTTTTCCTATATTGACTGTTAAATACTTATCTGTATCTTTAATACATTTTCTGTTGAGCTTTAATTTTGATGTCAGTTTTGTTCCTCTGAAGGACATTTTATTACTAGGTCTGGCCATGTTTGTGCATTTTTTCCTGCTTCTCAGTACAGTGCCTTAATCTTAGTAAAAGCTTCCCTATGCTTTCTTCCTTTAGTGTTTCTGCCTTTCACAGTGAATTTGGAAGTTCTTGAAGAACAAACTCATGTTTGTGATGTGTAGGCAGCAGTCTCAATATCTGGAGATATAAAATTTGCAAGTTTGTGTTGCTTTTCTACTAGGATGTGGTTTTGCATGGGGAAGTTGCTATGGGCTGGAGTCCATGCCCATGACACAGTAATTGCTGTTGTGCCTCCTTCAGGAGCACAGGGGGAGATGTGAGGAAAAAATAGAGGAAGGAAGGTCAGGATGATTCATTACCCCCAGGAAAATTCAGCAGGCAAAGCTTAAATTGGAAAGCTGTTTCAATCAGAAGTATTTTGCCACTAAGTTTATGGACATCAGTTGGATCCAAGGGATGGAGAATTCAGGAATACAATTCATATTTTCACTCTCTTTGACATAAAAGCTTTTGGGGTTTTCTTCTGTATTCCCCCCCGCCCCTTTGTTTTCAACTAGGTTTTTGTTTGTTTGTTTGTTTTGTTTGGGTTTTTATGTTGGTGGTGTTTTGTTTTTTTCTTTTTGGTGGGGGTGTTTGGTTGGTGTCGTGGTTTAAACCCAGTCAGGTAACTTGTTCACTCACTCCCAGTGAGTGGTGCCGAGCTGACAACAATCGAGGTCCGTGTCCCCCCCCCACCGGGGCTCTCCCCTTCCCCGCTCCCGGAGGAACAGGGAGGAGGATCGAAAAAAGTGCAACTCCCACGGGTTGAGACAAGAACAGTCCAGCAACCAATGTACACAAATCACCACCGCTACTATCAACTACAACGATAAGGGAAAATAACAAGGGAAGAGAATACGATACCACCGGCCAAGAAAACGAGTCCCACCCAGAAGCCCGTGCCCTTCTGGGTAACTCCCAGTTACCCCCCACCCCGGCCATGACGTGCTGTGGTATGGAATACCTCCCTGGCTAGCCCGGGTCAGGCGCCCCGTCTCTGCTTCCTCACAGCTTCCCCTCCTCCCTGGCAGAGCATGAGCCTCACAAAGTCCTTGGTCAGGGTAAACATCACTTAGCAACAACTGAAAACATCGACTTCACCAACACTGTTCTCAGGCTGGAAGTCAAAACACAGCACTGCACCAGGTACCACAAAGGAAAAAAAACATGACTGCTACTGCTGAACCCAGGACAGTTGGTTTGGTTTTTTTTTTAGTTAGTGGATAAGCAGCTTCCTAAGAGCTGCTACTTGTTTTCCATTAAAATGGCTGCTGTGACACAGGTGTAGACTGAAATTCTTATGACGTCTGTGACTTGGTTCTGCTCTCTGTTGAATATAACACTTTCTGTGGTTGTGGAGCTCTGTGCAGGTCGGGCCACATATTTATTGTATTTTTTTTCTTTTTTTTTTTTTTTTGTGGCAATATTATGAATACAGGCTTTGAGAGTGTGTCTGGGAGTCAACTACCCTTGCCCAGGCACTGCAGCCAGTTCTGGGAGGTCACTTCCCTCATGCCCACCCAGCACATGACATTTCTCCTGCTGCAATCCTCTTCCAAGATGGGCAGGACCTCTAAATCTCCATTATAGTTTAAATCCCTTCTGAGCTCAATTGGGTGACAAGAATCCTTACCTACTATTACTTTGAATTAAGAAGTTAATCTTATCTATTGATAAGCAGCTAATTGTATCTGATCAGTATCAACAGGATATCACCAGGAATATATTTTGCAAGGTGTTGAAGTAATGTACTTTTTAACTCTCCAGCTGTATTGTTGGGCTTTATTTCATCTCTTTTCTACCTGATCAGGATTTTCTTTGATTTGTTTAATTAAAATCAGCTCACTCTAGCCAGGCTGGAATGTCCAATAATAACTGCTTATTAAGTAGTGGGAGCTTTGAAGTTATTAATTTAAATTATTTTATTCCACAGGTTTTGCTCAAATTAAATGGAAAGCCAAATTAAACAATGATTTAATTAAGTGGAAGAGATAGAATGTAGAGGCAGATTTAGAAGGTGAGATCTAAAAGAAGCATATTCTTCCAGTTGTGACATCTAACAGATTTAATCCTTCATCAGCGTGGTGAAGCAGGGATTTACTGTCATTCAGAGGATAATGAAGAATCCAACAGCAAGAATTATGTTACAAGATAAGAAACTAAACTAATGAGTATAGCTCTACAAACCTGAATAAAAAATTCCACAGAGGAGATTAAAAGAAACAAAGCATGTATTGTTGGAAAGAAATCTCATACAGTCAAGCCTTGATACATACACAAAATTGCTGAAATATGATGACAAATAACTTTATAGAATAGATATACACCTATAGAGCAACTTGTAAAAATAAGCTTCACAATGCATTGGGGCAGTCAAGGATGACCTGCCATGAAATTAATATTTCAATAATAATCATGCCAATTTGTTCATGTTAATTAGATTTATGGTTTGTGCATGCAGAGTTAAAATGCCACAGAAGTAACAATTATCTCTTAACATTTCATTTAACATTAGATTATTAAGATATATTTCTATTGTGACAAGTTCACATGTCCATTTTGAATGGATATGGAACACTGTTCGATAATTTCAAGAAGGTTCTCCAGCTAGGGTAGCATAACCTAATATTAAACTTCCTCACAATCTAGGTTTAATATTTACTATTTCAAGTAATTTATGGTAATAAGTTTATTATTTTCTGAATAAATTTAACAGTGTGTTTTAAGTATTCTAAACTGCAGTTGGGCTATTTGAGATCACAATGACTTTAGTTGGTCACAAGTTGCTCTGACAGCAATAATTGTAAGTTAAATGTTATTGTCATGCCCATAAGAAAAGATAATGATAGTTTTGTCTTTTTTAGAGTAGACTTATGTGGTGGAGGGTCTTTTGCTCTAGAAAGCCATCCGTGTACTTATGAAACTAAATAATGCTAAGTAATAGTGGAAAAAGACTCAAATTTAGTTTTTCCTTCTGTATCACTAATTAATACCCTCTAATATTAATTTTTCTGTTTTTTCCCTTCTAATTTCATAATAAGGACATATTCCTAATTCACAGTAAATTATATGGGGAAAGAGTCAGGTGCCAGAATCCATTCTTAAAGCAGTAGAATTACTTGAACAAAAAGTATAACTTATGGTGACATATGTGGATTACTAAGTGTCTCTACAGTTGCAAAACCACTTTGGTTTATGTTTGAATAATGCCCAATCCATAGACGTCCTGGTCTCTGACTTCTGCCCTTGGATATGACATTATTTTTATTTTTGTTGTTGTTATTATTATTATTATATTACTACTACTATTATAATTGGAAAAGTGGTTTTCCCATCTATTACCGTTGTAGTCTACTGGCTATGAGAACACAGAGGTAGCTGGAAAGGAAAACTGCATCACAGGATATATTCAAGTTCACCAGGGTTTTACTGACTTCAACACATCTCGTTGGCATTTCTGCAGGCTTGTTGTCAATCATGAAACGGTACCATGCTGGTGGCAAGGAGTGGTCACAAACCAGGCCCTGAATTCCCGTTCACTGCAGCTCCAGTGAGGCAAACTTCGTGCTGCAGTAGGGATTGTGGAGGATGTGGTGTCCCTCCTGTGAGCATTCAGGAACTGGAAAGGATGAAAAAGGACAATGATTAAATAGTTAATTCAAGTTAATTGGATACTGTTAATCACCTTTTAAAGGGGTACATCCTCTTATGTTCAGATTCAGTTCAAGGCAAACACTAGGAAAAGATAGAATTTGGAATTAAATATGTAAACTTGGAAGCTTGGTAACATAAAAATTTTAGTTATATAGATTTTCATCATATCTGAATCAGAACCAGAAGCCTTAAACCTTTAATATGACCTCATTCTATCTTTAGGGATTAACATCTGAATTGCTCCTCCTCAGAAATCAAATGATGTTCTGAGGTTCCAAAGCCTTGTGATTTTTGAAAATAGATTTGGTTTTTTTTTCATATATTATATGCATGAGTATTTTAATTATGACATAAATTGATGCTCAAATGAATTTCATATACTTTTAAATACATTTTTAGAATAACAAAACTAAGAAATGCTAAGAGAAAAAGAAATGGCAAAAAAACAATATTACAAGGTTTTTAGAAATAAATTCAGGTTAGGCTTGCAGATTGTCAAGGTTTAAGCTCAGCCAGTAACTCAGAACCATGCAGCCGCTTGCTCACTCCCCTGTTCTTCCTCCCCCAGTTCCCGGAGGGATGGGGAGGAGAATCAAAAGAATGTAACTCCCACAGGCTGAGATAAGAACAGTCCAGTAACTAAGGTATAACACAAACCACTGCTGCTACCACCAATAATAATAATGATAAGGGAAATAACAAGGGAAGAGAATACAACTGCTCACCACCCACTGACCGATACCCAGCCCAACCTGAGCAGTGATCTAGCCCTTCCAGGTAACTGCCCCCAGTTTATATAGTGGGCATGACATGCTGTGGTATGGAATACCCCTGTGGCTTGTTTGGGTCAGGTGTCCTATCTCTGCTTCCTCCTGGCTTCCCCTCCTCCCCAAGAGAGCAGGAGACTGAAAAAGTCCTTGGTTAGAGTAAACATTACTGAACAATAACTTAAAACATCGGTGTTATCAGCGCTGTTCCCAGGCTGAAAGTCAAAACCACAGCACTGCACCAGCTACTAAGAAGGAGAAAAATGACTGCTATAGTTGAACCCAGGACACAGATATTCACAGGTCAGACTCACCTGAGGCATTTACTCATAAAGCCAAATACATGAGAACTTCTGTGCATGCATCACAAAATTTAAATCAAAACTGCTGCCCCTTAATGTGTGTTTGTTTACACACCTGCCCCATTTATTTTTATATATCTCTTGATTTTTTTTTTTTTACAGAATATTCAATAGTTTCTCATCAACTCATGTGCTGGGTTTGTCTGGGATAGATTAAATTTTCTTCACAGTAGCTACTAGTATGGGGTGATGTTTTGAATTTGTGCTGCAAACAGTGCTGATAACAGGGATGTTTTAGTTAGTACTGAGCTTTATTTACATGAGGTCAAGGCCTTTTCTGCTCCTCACCAATGTGTCCTGGGGACAGGGTTGGGACAGCTGACCCTAAAAGACCCAAGGGATATTCCATACCATATGGTGTCATGCTCAGTATGTGAAACTGGTGAGAAGGAAGGGCAGACATTTGGAGTAATGGCATTTGTCTTCCTAAGTAACTATTGCACATGATGGAGCCCTGCTTTCCTGGAGATGGCTGAACATCTGCCTGCCCTTGGGAAGTGGTGGATGAATTCCCTGGTTTGCTTTGCTTGTACAATCATACCTTTTACTTTACCTATTAAATTGTCCTTATCTCAACACATGATTTTTTTTCTCTTTACTCTTCTGTTTCTCTCCCTCATCCTGTTAGGGGGAGTGAGTGAGTGGATGCGTGGGGCTTAGTTGCCAGCTGGGCTAAACCACAACACCTAATAAAAATAAGCCTTGCAGTGATTCTTTGAAAGGTTGTTTATTTTAAAAAAAGCTGATCATGTAGAAAAATGGGCCTATTCTTGGTTATCTTATACATTTCTCTATGGGGCAAAGTCCGTTTTTGCTGTATTAGCATTGTAGAACAGACCACAGGAGGAGACAGAGGCGGAGTTGCTCCCTGTTATGCATTGGCAAAAAAAGGCTCAGCTAATTTCTTGCTGCAGTTATCTTTAATTGCTAATGGTGACGTAAGTGGCAGAGAACACATCACAGGAATAGCTCAAACTGGTTTCAGGAGTGAGCCTGGGAGTTAGCAAAATCACCTCTTCGCACTGTAAATAGAGCTTATTTATGTGATGTTATTGACAGAGAATAAGACCCCTCCCCATAATAGCATTTTTAAAATGTCATTTTCAGATGGTAACTCTGCTTTAATATTACGCCAGTGGCACTCTGAAACAGATTTATCATTTTTATTTTATTGACAAGATACTCAGAAGGTCAAAGTCAATCCATTTATGGTACTATTTTTAAAGATTATTTTTATTGTGCCAAAGGCAAAGCAATGGAATACAAGACAAATGGGGACAAAATGTAGCGTAACAGAGCCTTTGCAGTTTTCACGGAACTAAACTGTCAAAGCAATGGTGCAATACCAATGCAAAATTCAGCTGAATTAATGAAATTGCTTTTTTAAGTAAAAAATGAGTGCCCTAAGCTTTTCTACAGGTAAGAGACATTTTAGAGAGGGAACACTTGGAAATACTGCACCTCTAACTAAATCTGGTATCCAATTCCCTCCCTCAGATGTCCTTTCTGGAGATCTGGGCCCAGCAGATGGGACAATATGGAGGCTGTCCTTTGCCACTTCCCAACCCAAGGGAATAAGTGACATTTCATCAAACCAACTATGGTCTGACAGAAATGAAAAATTTACCCTATATTTAAAAACTTTTAAAGAATGCAGACCCTTGCCAATTGCTTCAATATCACTGAGTACTTCAGAAGCATTAACAGGAACAGGACTTTGGCTCAAGGCTCTTTTTGCTTGCCCCAAGTACCTGCTTTCTGAAGAGAAAAAAAGTCTAAAAGTAAACATCTCTTTGTACAGTATTTCAACAGAAATCCTGTAAGAGCACTGTCATATCATTAACTGCATTCACTTTCTCAATAATATCAAATACTTCTTTAAATGTAATTAATAACCTTCTGTTCAATATGTATTAGTTATAATCCAAATTCACAAAGCACGTCATGGTCTTACCAGTGATTAACTACTCTGTCTAAACAATGCACATATATTAAACACTGAGATGTGGCTAATTATTTTTCATCCTTCACATAGTTTTGTTTGCAGTAGTTTAGAAAATGCTGTTTTGCATATTAATGTTAGAGGAGTTGAATGCTGCAGATGGGACTTGCAAAAGGCAGGGAGGGACTCGGAGGAGCACAATACCAAGAGGCATGCAAGGTCAGTAAAGAGCGGAGTATTCACCCATTAAATTTAACAGTAGTTGTGACAAAAGTCACGTGTTCGATCCCTAAGGAACATATATGTGAGACTGTCCCAAGCAGCCACCACCTCTAAAGGTGTATTTTATTCTCTATTAAATGTCAGAGTATGTTTATATACCCGTGACTGGGTTTAGTCATGCTTGCAGGCTGTTATTGAGGAGGCAGCAGTGCAAATTGATCCACTGTCAGCTCCCCTGGAGCCAGCCTGACGGATTTTGTTCTCACCCTGATGCAGATCAGACTGAATCACACTGTCGTCAGTGGTGGTGTGCTGACACAGAGCAGGAGGGAGCTCAAGCAAAAGCTCACCTAGGTTTTGCAGCAAGCCATAATCAAAACAATCCCTCAATTATCAAGTTTCCCTTGTAAAATGGTGCTTATTACAGCCTCATGACACACTCATTGTAAACTTTAACATGTAAATTGCAGGCCATAGTATAAGTTAATTATTATGCCTTTCCTGCAGAAATAAAGTCATTGCTGTTATCATCTGTATTATGAAAATGTTATTTAAAAAAAAAACAAGAATACACAGCTGAGCCCTGTTGGTTGTACACCTGAGGGATGCCCAGCTACACTCTAATCAGATGAAGCCTTCCTCTTCATTTTTAATTCATGACAAAGTCAGATGCAGATGTCAAGCTTGTGTACAGTGATGAAGTGCTCAATATTGCAATTGTTCCCCCTGTTGTGTGGAACAATAAAAGTCCACATCCATGTCTTCTGTGGAGTCGCTGTTACTCAGTGGCCTGAAGGGTAGATTGCCTTTGAAAAGGAAGTATTTAATCACCCAGCTCTATTCCTACTGGTTGCGTTAAAAGGGCTTATGAAAAAAATGTTGGCTTTTCAGGGAGCTGTGCGCTCATGATTGTTATGACCATTCAAATTTCCTTCAGGAAGAAATTAAACTGTGTAGTGAAAATTTGTTGCTCTCAGTCCAGAATATTCTTGGTATCTGGTGATTTAGTCTCCTGAAAAAACCTTCTTCCTAAACCACCACCACACTCCATATAGGCAAGGAGCTGCTACTAAGACATAAGGATTTGTTCACTTTACTAGACTTAAAGCATTTTTTAAAGCCAACAATTTTGTGGCAGCAGCTTGCTGCAAAGAGACACTGAGTAGTTCCTTTTCGACACAAAAAGCAAACAGGTTAACAACTGTTGCAGCTGCTAAGATGGCATTAGAGTAACTCTTGATAAAACAAGTCCTGTGGGGAAAAATCTATCTCTGCTGAAGTCATGAAGGATGTTGCTGTTAATGCCTGGACGTTGAGATTCACCTGATGTTAATGTACAGGAAGTTGTTATGTGCACATGAAATGAGGGGTAGCCAGTAGGCTTGCTGGGGAGAGCCTCCTGCATGAAGGCAGAATCATCCAGAAATTTCATAAGGTATTGCTCAGAAAATGTATATCTGAAGTCATGTTTCATGCTGAAATACTGTTGTGGACCTGGGGTATGGCTCTCAGCTAAAGGAAACATCAATGGCTGGAGAAGACATGCGTGTCAGTAGATCCTGGGGGCAGCAGCCTAGAGGTCTATTCTTGGTGGGTTGCTCAGTATTGTACCAGGGGACTGAGGCTCCATGATTATACCAGGAACCAGCCAAACAAGTCTGGAAAGGTGCTT